AAGTATGCAGGAATTCTACAGAAGGTAACTCCTAATTTCAACTTGCATACTTGTTATTTATGTAGGACAGAACACAAAAACAGTATTAAAAAATAGAATGAATTAGGCTTCTGCAGTGAATGTTCTTTGTATGAACTTGAAGATGAATAAAGGCTTTAGCTAATGAGTTTGGGCATTTTAAATTTGGTATACAGAGTAGCATGAAGGTAATTGGTGTTCTTTTCAGCCAATTTTAAAATGTGGCTTTTTCTGTTCTCCTGTTAAGGGTTCTCCTTATGTTGGTACTAAAGATGGAAGCAAGATCACCTGGGGGAAAAGTACAGAATATCAGCTAAAACCAGAACAGGCAGCACTAAATCTGTAACAGATGCAATATTTAAAATTGCAGTAGATGTATTTTGTGAATGTCCTGATATTTCAATTGTTTATACTTCTATAAATGTAAATGTTACTGCAGAAATTGTCTTGTTTTTATGCCAGGCAAGTAAACTGCAGTGACACATTTGCTCACATACAGGAGAGCGTCCTCATGCATGTTACCTGTGCAGCTATGCTGGCAAAGATGCATATAAACTGAAAAGACACTTGGCAATCAGGTACACTTGGAATCAGGTAGGATTCCCCAATGTAATGATTTATGCTTGTGTCTCCTATAGGCCTTCAAAATTCATGGGTTTCCTTGTGACCTAATTTCAGACTGTAAATCACAACGCTTTTCATTCATGATTTTGAGTAAAAGCATACCTGAAAAGCACACTTTGTGCAGTTTGCTTATTCCACATTGTTGTGACCTCAGATTGATCTTGCCCAAATTGACTGTAATGTGCACACTGTCTGAGAACATAGTATCTACCTTATCTACCTCATAATTCAGGTTTCATATCAGTTCAGTCACAGTGCGATGTGTGCCTCGTTAACATGTTAGCACGAATGGCAGTGTGTTTCACAGCTCCTGAATATGCCCACTTATGCTTTGGTTTACATTTCAGAGTAATCTGGTGCAAACAGACTAACTTCTTTTTTGAGGAATTGACCAGAAATGTCTAAAAGTGGGCCTCGTGTTGCCCAGTCGTGGTGGGGGCTCAGCCCTTAGGGCCAGACTGGAGTTGGCTCAAAACCTCAACACTGGATGTTTCCCTGTGCTCTTAGACTGGGCTTTCAACCAGCACTGATGTAATTTTTGATGATATTCAGAGCTGATGTGGATTTCTGGGAAAGAAAGTCAAGGAAAAGAAAATATTTCCCCAATATTGATGGCTGGGGTTGAATCAATTTTATCTTGATGTCGCAGACATTCACTTCCTCTCCTTGTGCACTCAATTGTAACACCGCATTTTTGTACGTGAAATGGAATCCATCCACAAGATGGGATAAAAGGTAATGAAGATAATACCTGATTAATAATTTAGAATTAATGGTTTTATGCTTCATCAGGTTGACTTGCAGATTCAGGAAACCAGGAGTTTGCATAGGAATGGGCTATGGCCAATGCTGGCCTTTCGTGCATTACAAGGTAACGTTACATTTTGGTTGGTCTGGCTGTTGCTGTTAAAGATTAGATGTTCAGATCTGTGTGAATGTAGTGTTTGTATCAAATACAGGGTTCCTAAGTATATATTCACATTTTAATAGGTGAAAAACCACACGAATGTTACATTTGCTACACCAGATTTGCTCAGAGTGGTAACATGAAAGCACACATAATAAGGAAGCATGGAGAAGATGTGCCAAAATACCAGTGTCCACACTGCAGTGCCTATATTGCACAGAAAAGAGATTTGGGTGAGTTTAAAGCAGGGGGAAAAGGGAATGTAGAGATAAGTAGGGCCAAAATGTTTGTAATTGTTGCTGCTTGTAATGAAACCAAATGCATTCTGTGACTTTACATCATTACAGAATATGCTATGGAAAATGTGGTCACTGCTGATTTACTCCTGCAAGGAGATGGGGTGACATCTTGTGGTTGATGCTTTAAGCTGGTTAAAATACAAAACATCAAGTATTTTGGTCTTTTTCCCCTCCAGGATACCTGTAGGACTCTGAATTTGCTTATGTCAATATCCACTATTATTTTCAGGCTACAAAACAATCATGAAACATTGAAGGTGATACAATAAACTGAAATGCCTCTTCTCTGGCTGGGATCTTCTCCCAGAATGTAAAAAATAGAGCACTGCATAAGTCCATTTTTATCCTATACGCAGGAAATTGATTTGTGTTTTTCCCCATTGTCATCCATATCAAACAGCGTTGGCATACAGATTGACACTGAAAGTAAAAGTTAAAATTATCATACATAGTTCTGGAGATGCAAGCCTTGGGGTTTTCTGGTGATTCCATGTACTACATTTCTGAACAGCTCTAGTTTGGAAGATTACTTGATTCAAATCCCTGTAAACTCACTGTGGCTTTATTTCATGTGTAAATTCAATTCTCTTCTAGGAAGAAAATATTCTTGTAGGGGTAAGAGTTTTATTAAGAAATCAGTATTAAGAAACAGAGCGTATTTAGTTATTTTAAGTGATTCAGTTGACAAATACCAAGAAGAGCTCGATGCAGTGTTAGATTTTTTGAAGTTATGAAATGGCTGTATTAAAAATATTTAGGCAGACAAAGTTGCCTTTTGTATCTACCTGTGTTTTCAGAAAGGTGCCACTTAACAGATGTAAATATTTCAAGGTGGAAATGGGATTATTGTCTACATGTCACAATTCCTTTGTATATACAGACTGCTTTGGGTAGCATTTTGAAATTAATCTTGTGCAGGTGAAAGCAGTTGCTGGAATTTTCAAAGGGATTTGATTTGTTAAACAGTTTTCATTAAAATCAGTGATATTTCAGCTTATAAATGCTTAATTACTCTGGAATTGTTGCTGAGAGCACAGGTCTTCTTTTTCCTTCCATTTTCTTCTATAACCAATGTGTAACTCAGGGCTAAGCACAACCTAACTCTTGTTCAAACTTGTGGAGATCCAAAATTTGCCATTAAAATAATTATTTTGACTGCCAGGTGCCAAAACGTGCCTCCATACATGGAATGGCAGTTCAGTGCAGTCACTGTGATGCTGCCTTTCACAACCATTGCGCTCTTACTCAGCACAGGAAGATTCACAGGGGTGGAAAAAGTTTCAAACGTGATCAGTGCAGCTCTGCATGCAAGCAGCTATTTCAACTCACCGACAAATTATTGCACATTAAGTGGATGACTTGGCAAGGCAGGGTTCACTTTGGGTATACTTAAATAAGATAAAGATTTGTTACTGCATTCCAACTGATGTGGGGTGGTTATGGTTTATTTGCAAGAAAAATGGTTCCTAAATGAAAAATAAAACAGGAATGCAGAAAAGTGAGGCTGTCTTGTTACATCTTTTGGATGTTCACAACTATAAAGGAAGAATGGCCCACCTCAGTGACGTGAGAACAAAGGCAAATATTTGTGCTTTGTGTGATTTTTCAGCCACATTTCTCACCCAGTGTCGCTGGGTAAAATCAGTCTGAGCATGTAAACATACCCACAAACACGGTCAGGATCACATTGCTTTCCAGCCTCAAGTGAAGACTGGACTTTGGCAGTGTATTCCACTTTTAATTAGTTGCTGTGTTGCTTACCTTTGCTGTCATCTAATGTACAGCACACAAAAACCACAGGCGTGTGTTGTATTTCTTTATGTTGCAGCACAGTCAACACTTTAGAAACTTAACAATACTTTTCTCTGACTTACAGGGAGAAAAAAAGGGGGAGATCTCTAGTCCAGCGAGTGTGTGTGCTCAAATGAAGGCCCACAGGTTCTGATCTGTGCGTATCTCTGACAAATACTTTTTTATACAACTGTAAAATCCAGAATGAAAGCATCAATTATACTGCATATATCTTCTGCTGAACTGATAGTATGGAGAAATACGAAGGTTGATCCAACAGTGATGTCTCCTACTTATTTCCATGGAAACTACAAAAGATTTTTAAAAAACCAAACCATAATAGCACTATTTGATAGAGCAAATTGTCACATAAAAGCATCTTCATTCTGCCCTCATTCGAAGCTTTCCCATTGCTTCCTTTCTCAGCCATCTGAAAAATCTGTCTTTTTGCCCATTCACACGGCCTGTAGTGTGAACATCATCTTTTGTCTTTGTGGTTGTTATTGTCCTGGGTGAAATTCAGTACCACTACATTGCCATAAGAATGCTAGACGGTATGATAAAAAAAGCTCTTACATAATAGAATGGTTTGGGTTGGAAGGGAACCTTAGGATCGTTAGGGATGCAGACCTTCTAGCACATCAAGGTGCTCTAAGCTCCATCCAGCGTGGCCTGAACACAGCTGGGAATGGGGCATCTGCAACTTCCCTGGGAATGTGTTCCACTGGTTCACCTGGTTGTGTTCGTTGCAAACAGGAATGACCTCAGGAGGAGAAGCTGTGACCTTCTCCAAGGGACTGGGCAGCAACTGATGCATTCCTCAGCATCTGCTTACAGTGGAGGGTAATGAAGGAGCCGTAGTGCTCTTGTCCTTTTCTGTGTGGATTTGTCCTTTTCTGCATGGATTTGTTGAATGTGATACACAGCTGGATAGTTATGTTGCAAATATTTTCTTTGTTTCAGAAACGTCCTTTAATTGCACGTAAACGAACTCATAGTGATGAGAAGTCTTTCACTTGCTCATGCTGCAGCAAAACCTTTCAACAGAAACAGCTTTTCACAATTCACTCTAAGCAGCATTGTGATTCCAGTGTGAACTCTACAGCTTATGAATGCCTAAATGTGGCACGGGCTCCTCACTCTGGGGAAGATACTTTGTTTTAAGGAATCTCTGTGGAGTTGTCTTTAAGAATCTAGTATTATACTGATAGGAGGAACAGAGAATAAGAAGCAGTTTGGCTGGGTGGAATGTTAACTCCTTAATGCTAAACCAGCATAGCAGATTTTTGGTGTCTTTTTTTTCCAAGCATTACTTTGGTCAATTAATAATTTATAGTTAATAATTAATAATAATTATTCATTACTTATAATTAATAATAATTATAGTATTTCCATTTTGGCAGAGAATGTCTGCCAGATCATGCACTCAGAGCTGGTACTGGCTTGTACAGTCTGGTATGGAAGTTATTCATTTTGAGCATAGTAGCCTTTTCAAACTAAGAGGCAGCATAGAGGTATGAATTTTAAGACAAATTGAAGAACTCAAGAAGATAAGCGAAGGGAAAGAGTGCTAGGACCAGTTCAGCCAGAAAACTACCATGAAATTATCATTCACTTATTCAAAAGCTGTGTGCTGTGAGGTGTGTATCCATTTCTGGATCAAATGTGCAAATTTCTAAAACAAATGTAACCTTTTTTTCCCCACAGATTTTACGTTTTTGTTTATGCATGGATCAGAAGAAAAAAAAAAGAGTGAATGAATATGAAATCAGATGTACAGAGCTCCTCTCCAGCAGAATTTTAGCATGTGTTCTGAACAAATCTCCAGGAGTTCTATGGAGGTTGTTAACTAAGTTAGCCCTTCACACAGTGTACAAAATGTGCCTGCCAAAACAATTTTTTGGGGGGGGGGGTTTTGTGTGTGTTAAAGCTCTTACATATATTAATATTTGATTCAGGTATTTGTGGCTCATGATGCTAACAGGGCGATGTGCACAAGCATCCTGAAAACTGTGGATTGGTGAGGGCCAACACTGCTGCATCCAGCAAAAGAAGCAAGGATAGAAGGAAAGAAAGGGAGAATCTAAAGCATGCTAAGCAAGAAGGTAATCAGTGAATAAGTTAGAATTTAATCATGTAAATTAGAATCAAGAATAAAAGGCTAAGGCGGTGAATCTTCCCTGCTGCTTAATTACTGTTTCACAATGAAGCTAATTTAAGTGCTAAGAATGGAGGAATGCTTTAGAATAGTCTGGAATTGCTGAGCAGAAGTTCTGCTCAGGTCCTTGTTCTGGGCCTGCTGCTCCCCAGCTCCTGCAGATATCTTCCTAAACTCCCTGCTCAGCAATGCTTACAAATGCATTTTTTCTTTTCCCTTTTACAAACTCACTTTGCCTTTATAAAGGTGAATGAAACACTCGTTGCTGAGTTGAGCCGTAGCGAGTTTCCTTATGAGCCCATTTTTGCTAATGCACTGCTTTAATACAAACCAGACTGGAACATTTTCATTTTCAAAACTCAAATTGCACATCAATCTCAATATGCATCCTAATGAAGAAATTGTTCTTCTCTCGTACTTGGATCAGATAATGATCCAGCAATAAAAACTCCATGATTTGAATAGCTAGAGTCACCCTTCTGTCATGCAGCAGAGGTGACCAGGCCCATTTACAGAGCTCTTGGCTCAGCATGTCTGTGCAGCCAGAAGGGCACTTGTAATCACTTAGTGATGCTCAGTAGCTCTTGAGCACTGAGCGCTTATTCCTTCAGTGTAAGACAGAGGATGGTCTGCAGTTAATGTCTTTCCTTCTCTTTCTTCTGCTTCCTCATCTTTTCTCATTAGGTAAAGGTTCCTAAGAAGTGAATCAATTCAGATAACTCACTGGCTGAGCTCAGTCAGAGATCTCCATAGGGGCAATAGCAGCACCTGTGCTGTCTGCTGGCGTATTCCTGGCACAAGTATTTCTCTTCTTTGCAACTCTTAGAAGAGGTGAAGTTAACTTTAATACTCTTAAACCTTAGAGTGTCATCACATGCATGGTAATATTCTAGCAATTTTACCTTACAGTCTAAATTTGATCCAGAGATGTTTCCTTATTTATGTGCAATTCTGTTGACTAGGCAAAGCACAATATACACAAAATTCAGTTAGGCAAGGCCATGGGCAGGATCCTGGTCTGCTCATGCATCAAGAGACAATTATGGAAATAGATCTGATGCCCAGGTGTCCTCAAACATCACATTTTGATATAGCAGGTTATACCTATACTGATTTGTGGCCAATGATATGGAGACAAAATTTGACACAGTAAGAAATGTTGAAGCCTTTCAGAATCTAATGAATATATATCAGCAGCTGAGTTTACATGAGCATTGACATTTCTGTTTTCACTGGTAAGGCTGTAATGCTATGGTTAGAGAGAATCTTACAGCTGCAGTGTGTATGCTTTTGCAATAATTAGATTTAGCTGTTTATTAATGTTTTGGTACATGCAAACAATATATTTTTGGTATCTTTCAGATCCTTTCATCTGGAAGCTTCAATTTCTACCCTAAGATAATGTCTCATTAGATAGTGCTCATGCAGATATTCAGTCTGTTATTTGACAAGCACAACTTTTAGAATTCCTGTGCCAGTTCCAGAGTTTTTTTACACAGTTGACATTTGGGGGTATACATCACTGCTCACTCTTGCACATCATGCAGGGCCTGTGGGATCCTTCATTAATGGCTGTTATCATGAGAGCTGAGCCCTTGTTAGAAATGGCTTGTGGCTGCTGCCATCAGCGATTTGCTGGAGCACACATTTTCTTTTTCTAATTGTTGATGATATTCTCATATGAAAATTAAATTTCCACACTTCATGCTTAGTTTTCTTCTAAACATATAATGAGTGCTGCTTACTTACCTGGCTCCTCACATAATATTCACTGTAAAATAGTTTCATTCTCTAAATAAATTGAAAGCTAAGACATGATGTTATATACTGGAACTATTTTATTCACTACATTAAACTGTCTAATACTGGCAACTATTGAAATATTTGCTTGTCTTTCTGGTTAATCATCACAATATTTAATTTTTCTGCAAAACTGACCTGCAGTTGTTCCCAGATGTCTCTACTGTGAAGAGTGAACATTGTGCCAGGGAGATTCTTCCTGTTTTAGAAGGAATAGAGGCAACAGCTTTGAAAGCAGAAGACAGAACCACGTTGTGAAATGGCTGTGATGGACTGACGTCTGAAAGTTATAGGGAAGCTTCGCCTCTTGTATTATATTCACACAACAGGATGAAGAAAACCAGTTAATTTTGAAGTAAGTTACAAAAGATAGGATTCTTTCTGCTTGAATGTCGTTTTTCTTCTAGATTTACATACAGAATTCTAGATTTACATGCTGACCTGAAACAGATTTATTCTTTAGTAATCTGCACAACTGAGAGCTGTGCGAGCTTCAGCCTGTTTGTGTTTTCCTGAGGTGAGAAAATGAAAGGCAACGATGTTTCAGTGTAAGGAACATTTGCTAACTGTCCTTTCAGTGAACACTCCCTATCTGATGTTTGTGGCAATTACTAGGAGTCAGTTTGTTTCATTTATCAAGATCATTCACTCCATTCCTCCTTCCATTATAGCAGTTGTTATTAGAGCATTTAATAAGGTTTAATAATTATTGTTTTGTGTCTGTTTCATGAAGGTTTTCATTATTGTTATAAATTCTGAGCAACAGATTTCTTTGTTGAAATTCATCTTTGAAGTCTGTAGAAGCTACTTTATCAATGTTCTGAATATATTGCTTGCTTCAATTGTCAATAACCAAGCTGAATGCTATCTTGTGCTGGGGTCCGAGCACCAGACTATGCAAAGAGGAATGTAAAAGACAAAAATAAAAGATTTTAATGAAGTTGAAAAATGACTTTTGAACAGTGAGAAGCCAGAATGTGTCCTTTCTGAAATCAAGAATGAATTCTTTCAACCTGTTCAGGAGTCACTCCTTATGGACTCATGCTTTTTAATTGGGAACGCTGATTGTTCTTTGTGGTTCAGAACGTGCATTGCCATGGCTTTCAGATGATTAGTTTACACAGTTAATGGTGTTATTTCTACCTTTAAGATCAGTACACTTTTATTTCTTTCCTTTAAAAGCCCATACTCTGAACAGATGCCAATTTTTACAAACTTGATGTTACTCATTATGGAGGAGTCATCAAACGCTCAGGAACGGCTCACGTCGTGAGATAGAAATTCACGGCAGTGCTGCCCTGCCACGGCTCGGTGCTGTGAGCTGTGCTGCCCTGGGCTGGTGCTGAGCGCTGCGCGATGGAGGCGATGGGCAGCGCTTCCTGGAGATGGCAGCACCGGTTCGCATCTCTTCCGACAGCAGACCAGCAAAAGTTAGACGCGCGACAAAGATGCTCCGATGCTTTTTCTTTTTCTTTTTTCCTTTTTTCTCTTTTTTAAATTAATTTACTTATTTATTTTTGCCTTAGTTAGAAATCAGGTGTCTCGCTTAACATCTTACGCAGCTCAAGGCTAAACAAGAGCTCTTGTTAGCTGTTTTTCTTAGCAGACGAAGCTCCGGTTGTCACTACGAGCTGCATCCTCTCTGCCAGGAAGGAGGATGGCTGTGAATCTGCCTTGCTCCCACAGCAGCGAGCAGCGCTGCTGGGACGGGCTGCAGGGCAGTGTGCTCAGGGGGCACAGCCCCAGTGTACAGCCTGCCTTCCTCGGGGCCGTGCCAGCCTGCACTCCTGTGCCTGTGTGCTCCTACAGTGGCGTAGGAATGGTGCACAGTGTCACTGTACACATGAGGGCAGCTCAGCATGCTGTGATCTGGGATTTCACTGCACAGTGATCTTTATCTTTTGCCTAGGCAGTGTTCTATAAGAGCAGAGAACAGCGAGTTTCCAGCTTGTTTCCATTCCTGAATTGTCTCCTTTCCAAGAAATTGACTGTCATCTTAAATTCCTGATCCCTCTCCTTCGTATCCAAAATAACTGTTTGTGTCTTTTAAATCTTGCTGGTTGCTGAATCTCAGTAACAAAACACACAGACTGTCATCTGCTCTAGATCTTCACAGCGATTACTTTTTTTTGTCAGCTAGAATTATTTTGTTACTGTTGTTTAACAATCTCACAACTGCAATTGGAAAAGGTGCACAGCCGCAATTTCTCTGATACCAGCTTGCACTGGTGCACGTTGCCCTGTTCTGTAAAAGAAGGAGTCCAGTGACAGTGGTGGGACCTCAGAGCTCAAACCTGAGGTGACCTCATGGCAGTGCTGCCTGGTTCCTTCCCTGATGGGCAGTGCTGGTACTGGTGGAAGCAAAGGCGTTGTGCTGCTACAGCTGCAGCCAGAGCTCCCTGCCCACAGCTCTGAGCACACCTCCTTTTCCTCCCTGCTCCCGCAGCTCTATTAATTGTATCTGTTGCTGTGAAAACCTGGCAGCTCCCTGCAGCAGCAGCTATGGCTGCCTCCATTGTACAGAGGAGGAAGATGAAACAGAAGAAAATTAATCTCTGATTTAATTCTTCTGCTTTTAGGAGCAATGAGACCCGCTGATGATACGGTGTGCTGCTGTCTTACTGCTTGTTTAAGTCATCTCACTGAACTCAAGAAAGAAACAGGGGTGTGGCAGCATGCGGTGATCACGTTACATTAGAAAGCAGTGAGCAAATGTGCAAGGACCTAAAGACATTAAGCTGGTGCTGTTAATCTCCTCCAGAGACATTAAACTCCAGGTATTAAAATTGAAATAACATTCATAACTTTGCAAAGATCAGAGCTTAGGCTGATGTAAAAGCACCAGGGCAGCACGACTAAAGGCTGTGGTTGTGGCTGGTGGCAAAGGGTCTCGCGGGGAGGAAACGTGGATGGAGATTCAGCTGTTGGTAACAAGGAAGGCTCACAAAGGAGATGCAGATTCAACAGTCTGAAGACCTTCCAAAAGTAGCAAGAGTGAAATGAGGAACCCTTAGACGTGGGTACAGATGCAGTGTGGCCTCCTGCAATGAAGGGAGCTGCTCTGTGTGACTGATGGTGGTAGAGGCGTGCGGGACAGAATGCTGTGCGCTCTTACACTAACTTCCACTTGCACAGTTTAATATTGATTTTTTGTTTTGTTTGAGAAACTAAATGCGCATCTGAAAGCAATTGACATTAATACAGCATGCCTGCAGGCAAACGTCGTTGGTGTTGTTGGGCTCTGGACAGCCCAGCTATTGTTTGAAGTCAGTTGCAAACCAGTTGGGTTCTGCCTAGCATCACAGGGCTGTGTGAGCTTATGGGGGGTGTGAGCAATGCGAAGGTGTGAAGAATCCTCTGACAGTTTTCATTCAATCTGTTTCCATTTTGAATTGGCACTTGAGGATGAAGAACTTCGCTTCTTACTCCTGTGGTAGCTCATCGCTGTGATTTAGTTTATTTCTAGCTTTGATTTTTTTCCAGCTGTGGTCTGTTATTAGTTGTGTCCTTGTCCTGCTCACGCAGCAGCACTCACAGCTAATGGGGTGAAAGCAAGGAGGGATGTTACTGTTTGCTTTTGTTACCACCTTATCCAAGAGTATGCAGCAGCTAATGGTGACTAATTTAGCCTGGGAACTGCTACTTATTTTCTGGAAGGACTGTATGCTTGGAGAATTAAGCCATACCCCTTTAGGGCAGGAGTGATTCTCCATTGTTTTGCCATAGCAATTCATCTGTCCTTTTCCCATAATAATTCACAATAATTTAAGTTTTAAAAATGTTTACAGTAGTTATTTACCATCCTATATTAAATGTTCTCCTGGAACTGAGTCATTCACGCCATGTTGCTTTGCATTGCTGACTCCAAATTAAGATCACTCCATTTAAAATGGGCTGTATCCCCCAGGCCATGCCCTCCGACAACACTTCTGCTGGTGTTTCAGTACCAGCTGTGTGGCAGTAAGCATAATAGTAGTGCTAGTGCAAGACTGTGCTCCATCTTTGCATAGGTGCAAATCATTAGCAGTCCCTTTTAGCTCAGTGTAATGCATTACAGTTAGATGGGAGCTGGGACAGTGCTCTCTCCCTTCTAGGGTCACGTCCCAGAAATAATGGGTGACCAACAGACCCCACGGAGGACTGAGGCATTCGGCACCTTTTAGAACCAGGAGGTGCATCTGTATTTTGCATGCAAAAAGATCTTTTCTGCTTGCCTTGAAATCCCGAAAAGAAATGCAGCATTTTCAGAGGGCGCCTGCTGCTTTCCTCACGACAGCAGTGCAGCACAGCAGTGAGCTGCTGCCAGTCCCTGCCGCCCGCCTGGCAGATGCAGGAGAGCTGCAGGAGGTCACGGAAATGGGCAGGCAGGCTGTCTTCATCGCGGGGTTTTCTTTTTCTCAGAAGCAGATGATTGAATAGAAACAATAGGCTGCTTTCCCCATTTGATGATGAAGACTGACAGTGTGTAGGAGATGAGTCAAAGGTTACTGATGAGAAGATCCATCCAGATAATTGCCGTAATTGTTCCCTGAGGATGCAGCTCCTATCACAAAGCCAGAGATTGTGATTCTATTTGTATATAAATGCTTGGCAGAGAACTCCATCCTTTGCCTTAAATGAAGAGAATTCCTTCATGAGATACAAATGGAGAAAGTTCTCCTAAATTTTCTCATTTGTGATACAGAGACCCAGGATTAGCTACAAAGGTGGTATTTAAACCCAGACAGTCAAATAACCGGTTGGATGTGATCTCTAACAAATTAGAATGTCCTGAAAATAAAATTCAGCAAGTGTGACAGTCAGATGGGGGGTTGGCAGCACGAGCTTCAAAAATAAATAGTCTTTAATTGCAGGAAATGACAGTGAGCAGCTCCTTGGCATCACTTCTCTCAGTGCTGTGCCTGCACAGCCAGGTGGCCGGCACTCCTCCTGCTGTGCACGGTGTAAAGAGTGTGGGCACATGGCAGGGATGGGGACTGAGGGTGGAGGGTTTGCCACCAGGACCCCGAGCAGCTCTGAGGGCTGTGTCCTGTGACTGCAGTGCAAATGGTACATCATGGCCTGAAGCAGTGATGGAGCACCTGGTGGGAAGGCGGGGCCAACCTAGGGGAGCTCAGGTGAAAGCAATGCATCTGAGTGATTGAAGGGCTGGAGCCAGGATCCACCCCTTCCAGCCCTCATTTAAGGGGTGACGGTGAAAGTGAAGGTATCTCATTTGGAGATGCTGATATATGATAGGGTTTTGCAGGCATTCTGAAGGTAAGCAGCTTCTTTCTCTTATTTCTGCACCCACTGTTATCACATCTAAGCAGGTCTTCACTCCCTGAAGTCTGAGATCTTGCTGCTCTTACACCTTGTTATATTTTCTTTTCTATCATGTCATAGCATTGCAAGGTGGGCAGACAGTGAGAAGTCTGGGCACAGAAGGCTGCTGAACTTTTTTTTTTTTTCTTTCAGGAACCTTGGCAGAATAAATAAATTAAAAAAGAAGTGGAACTCTGTTCATCTCTCATGTGCTGATTGCTCCCTCACGTGACCCTTCTAAATAGTAAGTGAAAAGGAACAAATCCTACATCTTACACCTCTGAACTCTGGCACTGGTTTGGTTTGTGGTGTGATCTGTTGAGAAGCCTCCTGCTGGCTCTCCATGTGCTGCAGTATCCTTACCCATGGCATGCAGTCTCTGTATGTGTTAGAATTAAACAAATGAGAAAGTTGTGCAGCTTAGACCCTCTTCCAAACTTCAGTAATTGTCTTTTCCCCCCCAGTTTTAGAAAACACAAATCCATCCCACGCAGCTCTCACGGTTACTGCTGGTTTATATCTGGGCAGAAGAGAAGCAATTGGTGCAAGAGGCATTGCTTATGGGACAGTGCCTAAAAATACTTCCAAAGGTCACTGCACATCAGATGGAAGGCAGTGCTTGTGCCAGTGCCTTGCCCTGAGAAATGCAGGTCTTTGTTAATACTAATTGTGTATATTTTAAACAACCCATGTTTTAAAAACACAGCTCAAGCAGGCAGCAGTGAATGCTTTGTGAGCCCTGAGAGATGGAGGGTGCTTCCTCGCCCATGGTTTTGGGCACAGATGTTTGCTGTTCCTGTTAACTTCAAGGCTTGTCCATCAGAGCTGTATCACGCATGTGCTTGTAGAAAAGTGGGGGCATTTCCATACTTGCTGTTTTCAAGAATACCAGTGAAGCAACGACCCAGGAAGTACCAAGAGGATTTGTAGCTTGTCCTTTGTGCAGACATTCACCATGGCTGTGCTTATAATTGCAAATATGGGCACAGAATGTGAGATGAAGGCCCAGCCCCATGTGCTCTCAAGTCTCTCCCCAGAAGCAGATGAGTGCTGGGAGGTGTGAGTGATGTGTGAATAGTGCTGAGTGGGATTGCTGTGCTGTTGGTGTGGGACAAAGGCATGTATTTCCAGCATCTCAGAAGGGTAATCTTGCAATGTACCTCTTCTGTTATATTTGACCACTCGATTTCATCTCAGCCCACCAAATGCTTTTATTTTGGTTTTGAGAAAGCACAGTTGCTTGGATGGATATTGTGGAGCGTTTGGCACTTGTGGGCATGCTTTGTACATGCAGCCTTTCCCAGCAGGATTCTGTGGGCTCTGTTCACCTCCCTGTGGCTGAGGTGGGAACACCCAGCACTGTCTGCCAACTTCACAGGGCTCATCTCCCTACCATGGAATAAAACAACAAGCCTTCAGCTCACTCCTGCTCTAGCTGTGCTGGGAGGTGCTGGTTGCAGGGGGAGGTGCCCCTCCTGGGATCTCTCAATCCCCATCACTGGATGTCCCCACCTCTGCTCCCAAGAGGTCCCCAGGGTTTGCCCTTGAGGACCTGTCCCTGAGCATCCCTCACCAGCATCCCACAGCTCTGCAAGCAATGCTCTTTTACCTTTTCCTCAAATCCCATTCAAACACACATTTGATGGGGAGATGGGCAGCAACATCTGCTCTCTCAGCTCATGGGCTCTTATTTGGATTGTAATTGCTCCATCGGCTGCGATCTGCTCTGTTTGCCCACTATCTGTTTCTGTCAGGTCTGGGCCTCCTACAAACCACTCATTATGTGGTGATGATAATTAAATCTCCCTGCCCAGGCCGGGCTGAGCAGCACAGGGAGAGCCTTCCTTGTCAGACAGTTGCCAGAGCTGCACCCCTAACGATGCCCCGATCACCTGCCTGCTCTGCAGGACAGGACACCTATTTGTTCCAAACAAGCTCTTTCAGCAGCTGTCAGACGCTAATGGCTTTCAGCTGCTGACAACCTGTGCCCTATGCAAACCAGGGGCACATCGTGGAAATGTGCATAAATATTCATGTGTGACTGACAAAACCAGAAGTGCAAATGCAGTTATCAGAGTTCTTGCATGAATGTGCTGTAGCCTGCCCTGTTGTGTTGGTTTTAGCATGATGGATACAGTGCAAATGTTCTGAAGTGATGTTGCCCTTTTATTTCTGTGATTAAAAATCCCCTGAAGGCGGTGGGGATGCAGAGGCACGTGGGTAAGAGCAGAATTTGGGTCCCTGTGTAATGTGAGCAGCTCCAGACTGATAATGCTCTATTCTGTGGGTCGTGTAGTGAAATTTTACTGAGATAAAGGAGTTACTTTGTTTAATCCTGTCTGTGCTCTATGAAGAGCTGAAGGTGTCTCAGTGGAACATGAGAACGCAGTGATTGTGTTCAGTGCTTCGATGTTTGAATCAGCAATTTTCAGCACAGGGGGCTGCATGACTTGGTGAGGACCTGACAATCTCCCCCATCCCAGGTCCCTGGAGCATCAAAGTTTTGACACAGGTGTGTTGTGAGCTGCGCAAAATACTTTATTAGCAATGCACCTTTGTTTCCCCAGCAAGTCCTGGATAACTGTGCTGAGAGGGTGCATTCATGCAACGTTTCCATTGAAGCTCACTGAAAGTTGCCATCTGTGGGACTGCATGAAAGGGGGTTGAGGGCAGCCGTTGAGTCCTGGCTGGCACTGGCACCATGTGGGTTTGTGCAGGAGAGGCAGGTTGTGTGCAGGCACCCAGCTGATCACTGTCCTCTGTCACTTGTGTGCCTATGTATCTGGGATGGACAGGCCCTGTGAACATGAAGCTAATTCAGTGTTTCAGATATAGATCACTCTTTTTTTAATTAAAAATTGTTTTGTCATAGTTACACAAAAGGGTTCAAATATTCTGCAGCTTGATGTAATAAAAATCAGAAGATACAGGTGTTGTTTATGAGCCATCAGATTTCCACTGCCACAGTGCTTTAGTAAAATGAAAAGGAGAAGAGAAAAGGAGAAGCAGAGCCATGTGCTAATCCCTTCCTTTGTTGCTTAAGGGAGATTTCAGTGTAAAGTACCAATTTCCATATCATTTGAATAGCAGTTGCAGCCCATTGGTGTTTAAAGTAAAATGTGCAACTACTATAATCAGCAAAACAGATGCAAATGCCTTGTCTGTCTTCAAGTACTGCCCCCTCCTTGCTGTCTCAATTAAATTTAGTGTGGAAAAACTCGACCAGATAATTAAAAACGGGAGCTATTCTTCCACTTTTCACAGCAGTAGCTGCTCCCAAGGCAGCTCTGGGTGTGGGACAGCCACCCTGCCCTCCCAGGGACAGCAGTGCCCTTCTGGTGCTGCCTATGCCCAGCAGCTCCCACAGCAAGTGTCTGCACGTCTCTGCAAAGGAGAGGCATCACAAATAAATGACATTCAGTAGTTTGATCCCAGGCAGTTCTGTGGTTCTGTGGGGAGGGACAGCAGCACAGCAGGTTGAAGCCCCGCAGAGCCCCCTGAGCCCAGCTCTGGGCAGCTGCAGTCCATCCTCAGAGGGCTTGAAATGTGGTTTGAAGTAACAGTTTACTTTGTCATTCGTGTTTCTGAATGAAATCACGAGCATGCAGTGTGTATCTCAGCTCCAGAAGGCTCGTCTCATCCTCTCCCAGATGGTGGGAGAGCATGGGGTGGGTGATGCCTCCCAGACAGGTTTCTAACAGAATGAAAAGCCCTGGTTTGCTTCCTCCAAAATGCTCCTCTGGGGAAATGAAGTAGCTTTCTTTTATTACTGCTTTTCCTAATCGGGAGATGTCTTATGGAAAAGGATTCCCATCTCATGACCAGCTGTGGTGATAAAACCCTCCTGGGTCACTCAGGGCAGACCAGGATGCTTTCAGCAAGAAGCAATGCTCGTTTGTTGTGCTCACTTGTGAGTGATGAAGGCCACACCAAGGCCATGCCAGCCAGGTAGGATGTGAAACAAAGCGTGTCAGCATTGGTCCCTTCAGGAGAGCATCCTTGAAACAGCAGAGAGCCAGTGAACAAAGGCTGTCCGTAACAGAGCACCCAGCTCTGGATGGGGCAGCTGCATACAGGGGCACAGAACTGTCTGCAGCCTTAGCAGAAGTGAGCTGCTGTTCCTGAACTTCTGGGAAAGTTTGGGCTCAGTATTATTGCTCGGGTTATTTTCTGTTCCAGGATTCTTCCTCTGCTTGCTACAGTGGCATTATAAATTCATGCATATATTTTTTCTCCTGGAAAAAATGCGAAACTCATGCTCTAATCTAGAAATAGTAAAGTGCTGCAGGGTTAAGTGCTGGAGTTCATTGGAAAATCTACTTGCTTTAGTGGGAAAGGTTTTCTTTTTTTTTTCTTTTTTTTTTTTTCCTTTTTTTAATGTATTACAAACAAAACAAATTTGGAAAGTGTATCTTAAATATAAAGACCTGAGAGCTGTGTGAGCTGAGGTTGGGATCTGCACAGTGGAAGCCCAGGTGCTCTTAGAACAGCCTCCAGTGTGTATGTGGACCCACTGGGGAGGCCGTTAAATTGAATAATTCAGTTCTTTTATTTAATTATCTTACTTTCCAGTTACACTGAAGATATTCTGACTGCAGTCAGTGGAGCGAGAGATGGACTTTGCCCGAATATTTCTAACCAGAGTTCAATGTGATCTCAAATCGAATTCATGTTGCTGCTGGTAAGGATCTTATGGGTCCCTTTTATTTGGGGGCATGTAACTAAAGATGTTCAGCATGTTCCTCAGTGGGTGCCAGAAAGCTTATTTTCAGAAGTATCTGAGGCTCAGGGAAAGTCAACGGCAGCTATATTTACCCTGAAGTCTGTGCAACTGCTGCCAAAATCAAGCCATGTTCTTTTTGTAGGAATAACCATGAGAAGAAAACAGCATTTGGAGGAAGGACCAGGCACCATACATGTGATTTATCTGACATAGAATGACATAGATGTCTTAAATGGGGTCCGAAAGGCCACCTGAGATTGTACCTTGAATGCTGCTGTCAGGAAAGGAAACTTTAGCTCTCGGTGCTATTGGTAAGCATTGTTTCTACAGAAATTCCCTCCCTTAGTTGGCAAGTAGCCTTGCTCTGGTGGGATCTGGGTCTGGGGGTCGTGCCACTGTCTGCTGACATGATCCAATTTATTCTTATGTGGAAATGCAAATCTTCGATCATGTGAGCCATAAAAGGGGGAAGCGCCTCTTTGTTTTATTTGAAAAAAGTTGGAACTAACCAGACCTGCTCGTTACGAAATAGTGACAGCAGAGCTTCCTTAAATCAAACAGAGTCTCATTCTGCTGTTGGACCGTCCCATGGTGTGCTGTGTTCACACCACTTCTGCTCAGGGGGAGTGCTCTGCCAGCTCAGACCGTGAGCAGCTCTCCAGGGAGCACAACAGTGGAGCTCAGGGACCAGCCAGGGAATGGGTTTCTGTGCTTTTGGGTTGCACCACAGGAAGAGGAGAAATTACCCAGAGAGAGGAGGGGAGCAGCAGCCGGCCAGCAACAGGCAGAGCAGCTGGGCCCTCATGGCCATGACTCCATGTCACTGTGCCCCACCACGGTGTCCCTCAGTGCCACATCTCCTCTTTCTGGACAGGCAGCCAGCTCAGTGCTGAAGGCAGGCAGGCTTCAGCCAAAGCTCTGCTGTGGGGATCATGGGGCTGTGGCAGCTCTGCAGAGAACCCCATGGCTTTGGGACCCCTCTGGGCAGGAGCAAAGGACCACGAAACCCAGCAGAAGTGGGGGAGTGCAGCTGGATGCACACCAGAGTCTGATGCATGGAGGAGCTCCCAGCACCTTAAAGTTGGCATTTCGCCTGCCCCAAAATTTAGCTGTTTCTACAGGTCACATTTGGTGTGACTTATTGTAGGTTTGGCTGTTCCACACTTGTCAAGCAGTGAGCAAGGCCTGTGGCAGCAGCCAGGCTCAGCAGCAGCACAGCCACTGCTTCAGCACAGGTTGGTTAGCTTGCAGCCTGAAGCAAACCTGAAATCATTAACAGCCCATTTGCTGGGCTAATGACTCTTTTTTTTTTTTACTAGATGTATAATTTAATATATGGTAACTTTCATGCTTAATTACACCCTTCAAAGCTTCTTTTGAAGGAATTTATTTTTCTGCATGCATTTATTAAAAGGTGTTAGGAATGGCTGGCTTGCTTCCCTGATATTCTGCTTTAAAAAACAGATTTCTTTAAGTAGATTTTACTTGAGATACGGGTATTTCCTCCTCTGCAACTTGCAATATTTTTAACCCTCAATGCTGGAAAAAACAAGGGTGAACTATCCAGATGTTACAAACAGCACTGTTCTGTGCCCTACTGCAACCTGCCCCGTTGTTCTGCACGAGGCGCAGGCCCAAACCCTTCCAGCACAATGCAAGGCTTGAGCTCAGCAGCCTGGCCCCATTCCAGCCCATGTCTGACTCAGCAGTGAGTGCCCCTGCTCTGTAACCTCAGTGGGAGCACAGACAGGCTCCTGTAAGTGCAGTTAATCCCACGTGCCGTTGGCATGTGGCGCTTGTAAGGCTTGCTGGGATCAGCTCGGATGAAAGAGGCGTTGCATGTAAGATGTTTTCCACTGGCATCCCAAATCCATTACTGTATCAATGAAAGGATGGTGTGACTTTGTCGATCGTGACGCTTTTTTTTGAGCTAGGCAGCTGACTGAGGGGATGGTCGCGAATTCAGGTTTCCTTCTGTGAGCTCTACTGTCCCCTTCATGGAGATTAAAAGTTTCCCAGTGCTGTTTTCAGCTCCGCAGAGCAAGTAAAAGATAATCTCCTGCTTGGATATCCTCGTGCTACTGCGATCCACTAATAGGCTCACCATCCAGTTTTGACTTAACAGGCACTGGAAGAGGATAATCCTGTTTATTCGGTCATCCAAAGCACTGATGATGATCTGAGATAATCGGTGGCTGAGAGCAGCAAGGAGGGATGCGCGAGGTCCTCCGTGCCTGGATGGATGAGTCAGATGCTCAGCACTGCAGCCCCAATGTGGTGTGGAGAAAGCCCCAACCATCCTCGCAAAGAAGACAGAAACCAACTAGGTAAAAGAAGAGCATTTCCTGGGGTCTGTGCCAGACGTTTTGCTTGTAACATTAACTCTTACAGCTGACACGTGAGCTGCGGATTGACATCAAATTGTGCTGTTGACTTGTGAGCCTTGTTCTGTGACCTGAGGGCTGTCCCCACCCACATAACAGGTTTATGGTTTATGGCTTGGTAAGCCAGCAGCAGCAGGTTGCCCACCAGCCCTTATGCACCATAGTGAGGGGTCAAGCCCAAATCCTCACCATAGCTACACTTGTAACTACTGAACACATGCACAGTGATTCATGGGTCCCAGTGCGATGCTTGCTTCAATTAATATTTTATAAGGTGCTGGCTATATTTAACTTTCCAAACTTGAATGGACATGGAGATGTGATCTAAATCAGAATGTTGTTATGTTCTTACATTTTAAAACCAAAAAGTGCTTTTCTCTCCCTGCTGCCAGGTGTTTGGGGCCCTGAAGGTGCGATTTTCATGTGTGGCTGTTTGATGAGCCCTGAAGGGCAGAATTCTTGCTCTCCAACCTTCCTTCCTCTGCACCCAAAGAGTCAGCACTGAACACTGTGCTCCTCCTGACGGTGCTTCAGGGCTCCTCGTGCAGAGCTCCATGCTGCAGCACAACCCTAAAGGCAAAGGCACATCTGTGCTGAAGGCACCACCGCTGCACTCCAGCCCCCAGATTGAAGTAGTGGCTGCACTGCCCCGAAGGCACCACGTGTGTTGTGCATGTAGCACCATTTCCTTATTGGTGTTGGTAAGAAAGAAGAGGTGTCGTATGCTGGCTGCAGACAGCTGCGGCTCTGAGGATCCCTTCTAAAGAGACAGCAAGAGTTACCCAGAATGAGCAAGGCTTCTGGCACTCGCTCAACGATTACAGAGGTTTTGCAGGGTGACAGCAGTTCTGCAATCAGCCCGCAGGGAGCAGCAGAGCGGTACCGGGCTGCTTTCCTCCCGGAGCCCCTCGGGGCTGTCAGTACCTAGCAAAGCATCTGCAGACCCCCAGGAGGGAGTGCGCGTCCCCACCGCCCTGAGGGCATCACGCCGTGCTGCAGCGGGGCTGTCCCCGCATGTCTGGTTTTTGCATTGCTTTCCACTTAACTATTTGTTATCCATTTTCTGTTGTTTTGGTGTTGTTTCTCCTTTCCAAGTTTGAAATATAGCATGAAGTTACAGAATTTGGCCTGTGGCAGCTTGATGAGCATGTTTGTTTGTTTCAACTAAATCTTTTCCTTTCCAATTCTGTTTCCAATGCCACGGAAACATTCCCTTAATCCCAAGGTTTTGTTGACCATCATTGGTGACGAAGTGTGCGGGATCAGCAGTGACCCTTCTCAGGAAGTGTCCTCAGCACAGGGATGGCTTTGGGAGGGCACATGGGGACAGCAGAAAAAAAACCAGGGTTTTTTTTTCCTCAATGATTTGGAAAGCTTATTTTTCTTTGAAATGTGTTCTGTAGTGTAAGCATGAGGCAGAACTGACAGCCCCACCTGCACTCACATCTTGCTCAGCCTGATGCCAACATCTGGTGAGTTTCCATTCTTCCCCTGTGCTCATGGTGGGGAATGGGCCTTAATGCAACACCACTGTCCTGTTGCACAAAGCAGACAGCTGGGTGCCTGACTGTGTTGCTACAAGAAGTGTTTTCCTGTTGTCCAAAGTTCAACTCAATGAGAAGATCGAGCTTGTTTCAGGCTGACTATCAGTGCAGTGAGTGATAAGAGAGGAGATGGCTCCGGAAGCACATTCCAGGTGCTGGAGCAGAGCACACCCAGCTGTGGAAGGGCTGCAGACAGCACTGATACTGGAACCTGCTGCTGCTCTCAAGCTGAGGTTAGCTGGTGGCAATTCTTGACAAATTCTGTAAGAGAAAACTGAGCCCTGATGGACAAGGTTGTGGATAATTCTCTGCCCAGGGCTGGTCCAGAGTTCAGTCCTGGGGTCTTGAATTTAGGGAGGTGTTTGGTCAGATGGTGGAATGGCCCTGGGAGAGGGAAATGTGATTTTCTGAGATGAAAGATATCTCCTGCAAAGCGCACAACAGGAGGCTGGGTTTGTCACTGTGTGCTCACAGCACAGCGGGAGGCTGCTGCAGCAGGGCTGGGGAGCATCATCTCTGCTGCTGTGAAAAGGGTGGCTGGGGAAAACTGTGCATTACTGCTGGGGAAGTCAAAACTGCAGCACTTGAGCAACGTGATGACAATGCTTTAGAAGAACAAGCAAAAAAAAATAAATTAAATTAAAAAAAGGAGAGGGGACGAGGACTTCTTGTAATAGGCCTCTTCTGTTTGCAGAAAGGTGGGGGACATTTGCCAGGGAGTTAGAAAGCCCATCAGAATGCCCATGGCCCATAGCCATGCTTTCACAAGCTTGCAAGGGATGGATTTTTTACATTTACTTTTTTCTGTCAAAGGCAGCATTCTCCAGGGGCCAGCTACAGAAAAACCTCTCCCGCCTTCTTGGCAGAAATCCCCCTTACTTACACAGCTAGGGCTCCCTCAGCTCCAGCTCTCATGTGCTCAACATACCCAGGGCCAAAGGAGCATCTCTGGACTCAGAGCTGAAGCTGATATTTTTTCTTGTGTGGAAAAGACAGGAGTAGTTCTGTGTGCTGACGCACCAGCACATCACCCCAGCACATCACCCCAGCTGGGGGTGAGCCGACTCCGCACGACCCTCAGAGATCTCATCTGCTCTGCTTTTCACTCACCTTCATCTCCACTGCTGGCAAAACCAGCAGCAACAAAGAACAGTTTTTGTTCTGATCTGATTCACAAAACCAGATGTGCTTGTGCTTTTTTTGAGCTCATTTGAATGCAGGCAATGCACTTCTGGTTTTGCAGAATCATCAGTTAGCAGATGTCTTTTGAATTGTAGCTCTTAATTCAGAGGTTAAAACTACATCAAAACACTCACCGATAAGAATTTACATTGCACTTAAGGTACAGTGGGCTTTTTTCCATCTTTTTCCACTTAAAATTATCTCATGGAAATTTTTTGGCTTCTAAACAGTTTGTCGCTCGTCTCCCAAAGGCCTTTCAGTCCTACATTTGCAGATCAATGCTGCTTAATAATCAGTGGATTGGTGGATGGAGGCATAGGGTGGAGGAGGGCAGGTGTGGCTGGGGCTGCACTTCTGCATCTGCCCCACAGAGTCCCATCCAGGCCTCCTGCAGGGCTGTCTGGGGCAGATCGGCCCCACACCATACTTGGGAGATGTCTGGAGGTAGACTTGAGATCCACTGAAAAAGTCTGACATGCTGAAGATGAGGAAGAGCCATTCTCAGTATCCATGCAAACTTTGGACATGGGGAGGCTAGACAGGGGCACGGCACGAGTAACCTGACAATGGCTGTTGAGTTAAAAAGTCACAATAATTAAGAAGAGGAAGACAAAGGGGAGCTCTGAAGCACTGTGGGGCTGCAGCTGTGCTGGTGTCAGTCAGTGCTGCCAGCTCCCATCCCACAGCCAGCACGGTGCGCCCCGAGCAGTGCTGCCCATTGCTTTGGGCTCTTATCTTCCATTGGATTTTTGTTGTTGCTGTTTTCATTCGGTTATTTTTTTCCCCTTTTGTCATAGGACCAACCCAGAATAGAATCATGAGGTCCGTGTTTATAACTTCCCAAACCATCTATATGCTGTTTTTAGTGCTGACGCTGTGCATGAAAGGCCGTGTCACCACCATGCTCATGTTTCCGTGTGACTCTGGGGCTGTTTTGTCCCATTTCATAACCAGTAAGTGAAGTGAGTCTGACAGCCTCGGTTTTGGCCCTCACTTGTTGGTTCCCATGCTGCAGATAGGCTCGATTAGCAATAAATTCCTGCCAGGAGAATTACAGTTCAGGCTCAAAATGTGCTGGTGTTCTGTGCAAAGTTTTCTTGACCAAAGTAAGCTGGAGCCGGTTGGAAGCGTGACGTTTGGAGTGCACTATTTATCTCTTCATTCTGACCAAAAATACATAGAGTGGAAATACGCCTTATTTGCATCTGAGCAGAGAACAGTTGAGCTCCTCCAAAGTGTAAACACAGCATTTTAAATGTCCCGGGTTGTTTGTTTGTTTAATTCTGTGTCTAGCTGATATATGAAGCTTTAAAGAAAAAAACGAATGGTTTTCAACCACAGGAAAGCTTATTTAGTTGGTAGTAAGAACACCATGATACTCTTGTAGCATTCATTGCCAGCTCCAAGCCCTGAATGCAGAGGAGCTGTGAGTTCACAGTTGCACATCCTGCATCCCAACTCATGCAGAGCTGCTGCTGTCAGTGTGAGATCCCACCCCGTCCCGTCGGCTCCGCTATTTACTGCAGCTCCATCTGTGCCTGCTGAGTTCTTCTCCTCCCCCCTGGGCACCAGCACGAGGAGCTGTTTTTAGATGATGTTTTCAGTCAGAGTTTTGAGCGGGATGAGCTGGCTCAGCCCAGAGGAGAACAGCATGTGAAACACAGCGGGGTCAGACAAGGACCAGCACCCTGGGCTGCCACTGCTGGGCCCTGCAGCTGAGCCAAGCCTTGGTGTCCATAGGCACTGACATCAGATGTCGACTCGCAGTGCTTTGTGTCCATTGGACTGACTTTGTTCTCCCATCTCATTCTGCCTCTGCTCTGCATTTTCCAGAAACAGGCTGTGGAGGGCTTTCTTGGTGGGAAACAGTTGCTGCATTTGTGCTTTGGATCTGAAGGGACCCTGGGCCTGACCTCTGGTATATGGCATGGAGTGTTAGATTTCATGCACTTAACTCCTACTGTCTGTCCAAGAACTTCTGGCTGACCACAGTGCTTCCCTAAGGGAAAAAAAAGCAAACAGACCACCCCTGATTTTGCAGTCAGCTCAGCGTTGTAGAAATGCTTCTTATTCCCATTGACATGCTGGGAGCAAGGAGTCCCAGGGGTTTCCAAGAAAACTCCTGGACAAACAGCTGTGGCCCTGGCTTCCTTCTGCCCTGTGCCCCCTCACTGCTCACAGCTCTCCTGGCCCTGTGCTAGACTGCATTTTTTTCCTCCCCTTTCCCTTACATCTGGTCTTTTAGCTATGAAATTTCATTTCTGGTCTATGATTCTTAAAGGCCACAAGTAAGGATCATTGTTCCAAGCATCTTCTTGCCCTACCTGTAACGAACAATGAGGGAAAGCTAATGGAAGCCTTTAAAGCATAAATATTTTATTTATTTATTTTTTACAATGATCTATACCCTTTTATGGTACAATTTTGTTCTTTTGGGTTAGGGAGATGTTACACAGGCTGAGGAGGCATAGGGAGGAAGACAGACCCATGTGGGGTAAGGAAGGGGCAGCCTGGAAGCAGGGCTCAATGAACCCATCTCAGCAGCAGTCAGACCATGCCTACACTTAGGTGGGAAAGTGCCAGCTCAGAGCAACCAGCATACTTCACCTATTCATTCCCCATTTTGTTCTTGCAGTACCCAGATATTTTCCATTCTCCCAGAATATTATGTCAAATGAATGATCTCCCATCTAATGATGGGAATACAGCCAGGGAGAATTGGGACAGACCCACCTGCAGCAATGGAGAACTGGGGGATTGATGTGGTTTACACAAAGGCCTGCAAAGGCTCAGCATGTGGGATGCCTTTCCAACATGACACAGATATTCTAGAAATTATCTGCTAAAACCTCCATGGTCAAGGCCTTAATGACTCCTTAAAAGTGGCCAGATGCTTGCTTGTTATTAATCACCTATTCCCAGCTTTACTCATTAATGAGTTTCTTGCTAACAGCTGCCTTATCACCCAGAGCTGAGATACCTGGTGCAGTGTGCTGCCACAGGGCTTGAGGAAACACAGCGCATTGCCTTCGTGCTGCTGACTCAGGCTGAGTCAAATGGTCAGCCTGGAAGCCAAGGAAGAAGGTGTTTCTTTCACCTCTTGCTGTTTGACCACCATTCTGCTGTGCCAGGACTGCGCTGCTTACAGGAGCCGCACTCACCTGGATGGAGGTCCTCAGTGCATCTGAGGAAAGCACACAGCCCCGCACATCCATCTGCTGTAATCACAGCTCCCTGGAGGAAAGAGTTTGGAAATGGTATTTCGAGTTGTTGATTGAGATTTTTACAGATTTATTACCTGTTGGGTTTCCTTTTGTTCCCTCTTTGGCTGCCAGCTCCCCCTCCATCTGCCGCCACTGAAATCCACCTCCCCTTATCTCAGCACAGTTTGCTCCACCTCTTGCCCATTTTCATTTTATTGCCTCGCTAATCTCAGCCTCCTGCTTTTCCTAACACCACTCCCCCCTCCCCATCTGTGGCAATTAAATCACTGCTCCTTTTGTTTGGTGCCACTCAAAATTCCCTCGTTTCACTCAGCCTTTGGGATGCTTCCAGGCACTTTTGCTGTTGTCACACACATCCGTTTTCCTGGCACAAAAAGGCCCGTCAGCATCTGATGGGAGCTTTAGCAAGCCCTCATTCCAACCAGCTCTGAGACAGCCTGAATGTGAAATGGAGCTGAGCTCAGCCCCCAACGTGCACAGTGTACCAGAGGCGGCTGTGGGACTGCTGCAGGAACACCATGGGAGCACAGGGCAGCCCCACAGGGCACAGCTGGCACCTGAGCATCAGGCAAACAAAGCCCCAACTCCTGCTCCATCTGAGAGAGAATTTCCCCCACGTACACAGAGACGGATGCACTGCAGGAAGCCATAACATGTACACAAGTCCATGAGCCTGCGACTTCCTCTAAATGTCCAGATGAGATCCATAGAGAAAAGCAAAGGTTACAGATCGCATGAAACAGAAACCAAAACACAACCAAAATATTGCAAGATTTGATAGAAATAAGACAGAAACAAACCTGGCGAAGAGAGTCACCAAATTTGTTAATAAAAAAACACCACAACCTCAGGAGAACAAGACTCTTAGCTCTAATGATGCCCAGACTTTGAAGTGGTTTTGCATGTACTGGGGTGATGTATTGGTGCACTCAGCACCCAGAGGCCTTCAGTGCTCATGGCCTCAGAGCTCCCTCCTCACAGCTCACCTGCTGAGCACCAACACTGCTGCTGTTCAGCTTAATGGTTTGTTTTTAACCTCTGCTGTTATCTCTTGCCTTAATTCTCAATTATCAGTGCCAACCATGATGCATTTGCTGTATCTCCCTTTGCTACTTTTATCTGCCAACATGTTTTAAATAAGTTTAGAGAGTACAAGAGCTTAAAAAAAAAAAAAAAAAAAAAAAAAAAAAAAAAAAAAAGCAGCCAGCTGAAGATAAAAGCCAGCAGCACACTTTTAAAAATAGAGCAGCCCTGCAAGAGGTGCTGAGTAAATGGGTGCACAGGAGAGAGCAGAGCAGGCTGCAGAGGCATTGTTTAAACTGAAGGTAAATAAGTGGCAGGGGGAGCTGCAGTTCATTTTGTTCCCTTACGTGTTGGTCAGATAATGCAACATATCTCCAGGCAAGCAGCCGGGTGCTAAAAATGGATGCAGCTCTTGGGTTTCACTGGGTGACACACAGGCTGTGGTGCTCAGACTGATTCTCCTCTGAAGCATCAGCAGAAACAGAAGAAGCATGTGCCAGAGCTGCACACAGAAGCACTGGGCATTTCAGAGCTGCAGCACTGCTCAGGTGGCAGCACCAGGACTGGGGAAGGTGCCTTCTGCATTGAAGGATGCCCATCTTTGGGATAGCAGCCGGAGCAGAAGGGCTGTGTGCAGACCCCTGAAGTCAGGCATCCTCTTGTTGAAGCCTTTCTGCTCTGATTGACCTGTGAAAGCTGTGATCTTTTTTTGGTGATGGTTGCACTCGGTCAGCAATTTAGGTTTGAAGCAACCCATCTACTGAGTAACTTCACAGAAGCAGAGTTTAGACTTGAAGTTAGTTTAATATAATAAAACAATTGTCTTGAAAACCTCCTTGGCATTTTAATGGTGTTTTTCTTTGGACTAAATATACACTAGAAGTTGAGAGGCTGTGTAAACCTAGCAGGGAATAAAAGGAACCGAGAGGAGGACTCAAAGGCCATGTCCAAACCCCAAGCATTAGCATGTGAGCAACCAGCTCCTGGGGGCAGGAACACCCACAGCACCCCTTCCTAGGAGACACACCTTTTAATTTGTTATTTCTCTTTGTTTCCTCTCACCTGGGTTTGCTCAGCTCAGCTCGGAGACAGATGAGTGTTTGACCCTCAGTGCTGTGGCAGTGATTCTGCAGCTCTGTGTCTTCCCTGCTCACTGGGAGATCACGCTTGAATTGAGTACTTACTGGCATGGAGAATTCTCTTGGCTAAATCTTCTCAGATTGTCCTGTCCTATGAAGAACAAATTCAGGAGAGGAAGGACAGCATTGCTCCTTGGCCAAAGCATGGCAATCAATTGTTTTCCCATTCCTGCAGCCTATTACAGTAATCTATTCTGAAGAGGCACCTCCTGGGAATAGAGCATTCCCCCTAGGGTTGGTGCCTGTTGGGCAAATTATTGCCTACAAAGTTAGCTATTGTAATGCTATAATATTTGCTGACAGAGAATACAGCAATAATAGCAAAGTGGCACAATTCTAGGCTGCAGCAAATGAGAACAAGCCCAACAACAACAACTATTGATGCAGAAACAAAAGAAAGAAAACTATTTACCTTCAACAGACCTCAGATACACAGGAACCTCCAAAGAGAGATACCCACATCTCCATTGCCAGCCCTTAAATGAGGACTGAAAGGGGTGGATCCTGGCTCCAGCCCTTCCATCACTCAGATGCACTGCTTACACCTGTGCTCTCCTGTGTTGGCCCCACCTTCCCATCAGGTGCTCCATCACTGCTTCAGGCCCTGACTCAGCATTGCTGCTACAGCTGTAAAAAACGAGCTGTGATGGATGGGTGTAATGAATTGTGCAGAATCGTTACATTTGAGGAACGGCACGCTAAATGTTTTGGTCAGAAGGGAAAACAGCAGCATGCATTTTGCTGTTGTTCTGCTTTCATTTCTAGATGTTGGGAAGTAAATCAACACAGCCTGAGTTTGTAAGGTCTGGGATGCATGGCTGTGTGGTGTTTTATCTGCCTTCTAAAGGAGCACAGCTCCTCTGGGTTCCGTCCATTTGTGATTTGCACCCGTTATTGAGAATAAACAGAACTTTTCCTTAGGTGCAAGAGAACAAAACATGTAGTCCCAGAACTGGGTGTTACCCAGCAGTTCTGACTGAGGCACAGCTGTGTAGGGAATTCCTGGTGTGGTGAGATCTGAGAGCCCTCTCTGTCTGCTGGAGGTGTGTGCTGGAGCCAGCCCTGCTGGGCTGTGTGAGAACACTGCTTTTGCACCACTGCCAGAAGGCATCTGTGCATTCGTGGGACAGAGCTTACTGAGGACTAAAGATATCAACCTGTGTATAATATTGCTCCTAATTGTAAGTCAGAAACTGATGTCATTTAGGACTAAATCAGTGCGTTTCTCCAGATGTTTTCTCCTGACTGCATCTCAGTGTGTTATGTGCTCATCCTGCTCTTTCTGGTCTCTACTGATGCAATCAGAAGCCGATCCCATCTTGCTGAGTGCTACACAAGGCATCATTTAACACAAAGGGGAAATTTCTCCTTAGGGTGCGCAGTTTTCACAGGAGGCAGTCAGTGGGGTGACTGCTCACAGACCTGCCTGCATGCTTTCAGACATGAATTCATACGGAATATCTCGTGTGAAAGCCACTATTCTTGCTCCTGCCAAACTGCCAAGAAGACCCATACAATGATGTTAATTGTAAACCACAAGCTGGCTCTTATCTTTGAATTGTTTTTCTCCAACAATTTCAAGAAGAGCTCAGCATGTTCTCGGTAGAAGCTGATAGATGCTGAGCACTTCTGAAATCCTGCCAGCTTCATTTTGGTTCCTAAATGGGAACTGAGTGCTTGTGAGCATCTGATCCTAAGGGTGCATTTTGTAGCACTACAGCTCTCTCCGTCCCATTCCTTTCCTCTATTGCTTCCCACAGTGGCAATAACACCAGGAGCACCAGGCTGCTCAGGCCGTGACTGATGTCTCAGTTATTATGTTGTCTCAAGCCACACTGAAGGAATTAAATGACAGCAGTTACAGGCAGCTGCTGTTGGCATCCTGTCTGCACCATCACCAGGTCCCCACCATCGCCATCAGCAGCACGGATACATTACGGCTGTAATGGATTTTATATGTGTATGCTTGTATATAAAACATTTAATGCCTTCTTTTTCAGAGTATTTCACCTTGTGTTTCAGACTGCATACACTGTGGTTGTCAATGCTCAGCTTCAGGGTTCAGATTTCCTTCTAAGTCGGTTCTCGGGGCAGAATAGTGAGCATTTTTTAGTGCTTTATGGAACAGAGCAGAGGGGAAGACGGGCTTTTATCTGATGCTTTTCCAACAGATTTCATGCGTGGAAGGCATCTGCTTGGGCCCTGTGGGCTGACATCCCACAGGACTTGGCAGCAAGTGGGAGAGCCACATGTCATAAAATCTGGGGGGCCCACGCACTGTGGACAAAAGTATGGCAAAGAGTTTAAACATTACTGACTGCAGGGATGTTGGAGGGCTGGCTACAAGCGATTAGCATAGCGCTCTGGAATGCGGAGCCTCAATAGCCGCTCCAGAAAGATCTGCAGCCCCATTGACTTTTGCATTGTCAGTAGGAGCCCTTGCACTCCGGCTTTCGCCTGCCTGAATGGATGGACGTGCAGGGCAGCGTGTGCAGGGAGCGCAGAGCTCGCCGGGCTGCTGCTCACAGGGCAGCACACGCCGTGCCCCACGTGCTGCGGCCTTTGTGCAGAACATTCTGGTGGCTGACAGGGTCCTGGTGCACTGCCAGCACCCCCACGAAAACCTTGATCGCGGTTCGGCCGTAACCTTGTTGCTTGTTTGCACCGGGCCCAAGCAATAAAGCTGCATTTGGCTGTGATGTGACGTCGCTTGCGCTCGGCTTGGGTGTCAGCGTGGGGTGCGGTGTTTGTGTTCTGCTGCCTGGGGTGGGAATGCACCCAGCAGGACCCAGCGTGTGTCTGTGCTCACATGCACTTCATTCGTTTCTTTTTCTGATTCCTTTTTTTTTTTTCCTTTCTGATTTCTAGACAGATAAAGTGCGGAATCAATGAATAATAAAGCTGAGAAGAAGGCCTGCCTGGTGTGATCACGTACATTTTTAGCTGAGGTGGGAAAAGAATGGGTTCATTCAAGCCCTCATTTAGGCCAGGGAATTCCCTAACTTTTGTCTAAATATGGCATGCAAGAGAGAGCACAGCAACGCAATACTTCACTGAGTATTGTTTAAAGGGTGTTTGGCACCGTTCAGCAAGTAGGATTCTTGTAAAAACATGGCACGAGGAGTTGTTTGACAGATTTTGACATAGCAAAGTCTTTACAAGAGATGGAAAAAAAAAAAAAAGAAGAACAAAATAAAGAACAAAAAGAGAGAAACTACAGCGTACATAAAGCCAAAAGCATGCTCTGCCCAGGCAGGATGGAGAATAAAAGGGACCTAGCAACAACTCGCATGCTGTGCAGTATGTGAGTCTGACAGCATTACAGATCAGTAACTCCAGTCGGGCAGTAGGGAGAGGTGATGATGAAGACATTGCTCCTGCCCAAACCCACTGACCAGAGTCCACCCCTGGATTTCCTGCTTGGATTGCCCCATCCTGTGCTGTCCTGATGCTGCACAGTGTTGCACCCTGCAGGCAGTGGCATCTCTCCAGCAGCTCTCGGGATGCACTGCCCAGAACCAAACACTCCTTGGTTTGGGTCGCTTCTCCCTTTTTGCAGAGCTCATGTTGACTTGCTGTGACTGTGGATCCCTTTTGCAGCAGGGAGCAATGATTTGTGTCTGGAGGAAAGCCCATCTCCTGGCAACACAGCCAGGCTCTCAGAGCACA